AGGTTGCCTACCCCTGTTCTATAGTGTGCCCAGTTCACCCAGGCTCTTAAGCTGACCCAGGCAGTCCTCAACTTATGACCACAAAGTTCTTTTGCTAAGCAAGAGTCATTAAGTGAGTCTGGCCCCACTTTCTGGCTACAGTTGTTGAGTGAATCGCTGCAGTTATTAAATGAGTAAAGTGGTTGTTAAGTCAATCTGCTTCCCCATCAGTTCGCTTATCGGAAGCTCTCAAAAAGGGATCACCTGACTTTGGGACCCTGCAACAGTCATAAGTACATGTCAGTTGCCAAGCATCCAAATTTTGATTGTGTGACCCTGGGGGAGGCTGCCATGGTCGTAAGTGTGAAAAATGGTCCTAAGTCCCTTTTTCAGTGCCATTGTAACTTTGAACAGTCACTAAAGGAATGATTGTAAGTTGAGGATTATCTGTAAAGTATTTTTTAATTAAGCCATGTACACCAGGATTTTAGGCATAAAGCTATTGGCCACTTAATAGTAGCGACTGTGAGAGGGATCTGGGAATCCTAGTGGACAATCACCTAAATATGAGCCAGCAGTGTGCTGCAGCTGCCAAAAAGGCCAACACAGTGCTAGGCTGCATTAACAGAGGGATAGAATCAAGATCACGTGAAGTATTAATGCCACTTTACAATGCCTTGGTAAGGCCACATTTGGAATGCTGCACCCAGTTTTGGTCACCACGATGTAAAAAAGATGTTGAGACTCTAGAAAGAGTGCAGAGAAGAGCAACAAAGATGATTAGAGGAGTCTAAAACATACAAGGAACGGTTGCTGGAATTGGGTATGTCTAGTTTAACGAAGAGAAGGACGAGGGGGGACATGATAGCAATCTTCCAATCTCTCAGGGGCTGCCCCAAAGAAGAGGGAGTCAAGCTCTTCTCCAAAGCGCCTAAAGGCAGGACAGGAAGCAACGGATGGAAACTAACCAAGGAGAGAAGCAACCTGGAACTAAGGAGAAACTTCCTGACAGGGAGGACAATTAATCAGTGGAACCGCCTGCCTCCAGAAGCAGTAAATGCTTCAACTCTGGAAGTTTTTAAGAAGAGACTGGACAACCATTTGCCTGAAATGGTATAGGGTTTCCAGCCTGAGCAGGGGGTTGGACTAGATGACCTCCAAGGTCCCTTCCAACTCTTTTCTGTTCTCCAAAGCGCCTGAAGGCAGGACAAGAAGCAGCGGATGGAAACTAACTAAGGAGAGAAGCAACCTAGAACTAAGGAGAAACTTCCTGACAGTTAGAACAATTAACCAGTGGAACAGCTTGCCACCAGAATGCTTCAACACTAGAAGGTTTTAAGAAGAGACTGGACAGCCATTTCCTGAAATGGTATTGGGCAGGGGTAGGCAACCTTGGCTCTTTTATGACTCGTGGACTTCAACTGCCAGAATTCCTGAGCCAGCATGGCTCAGCTTGGAAACCTCTCTTTCTCCTCTGGGTGGCCGGCTCAGGAATTCTGGGAGTTGAAGTCCACGAGTCATAAAAGAGCCAAGGTTGCCTACCCCTGGTTTGGGTTTCCAGCCTGAGCAGGGGGTTGGACTAGATGACTTCCAAGGTCCCTTCCCACTCTATTATTATTTAATTGCCACAGTATAATGTGAATATAACATGTGACTGAGAAACCTCTAAATATATGTGACTCGCTTTGTTATGATATAAATTTAATCACTAAAATAAATATTGACTTCATTGCCATGGTCTGGAACCAAATACTCAATATCTCCAATGTCTGTCTGTCTGTCTTGTCTTAAAAGAGACATTTCCCCCAAAAATGGAACTGATATGAATCTATACAGAATTTATTTTAGCAAATAACATTTAAATTCCTGCTCTGTTTACGCCCCGTGCTTAACACATGCACAAAAAACCCTGAAATATTAGTATTCTACTTTTTGAGGTCTTTTCACTTAAAGAATCCTCCCTGAGCCCTTGCAGAAAAACAACTGATTATTACGATAAGTAATAATTATTCTTGATAATAAAGCATTCCCTCACTGGGAGCAGACTGCAAACACATTCACATAGAACATAAACTCATAAGTCTGGAAGGGACCTTGGAGGTCATCTAGCCCAGGGCTTTTCAACCAGTGGTACGGGTACCACCTGTGGTACATTGGCACCTGGCAGGTGGTATGTGACCATCCTAGAAAAATGGTAGCGGGGGAGGGGAATGAGCCGAACAGGTGGCAGCACCGCACAAGCCTGAGCGAGAGACGGCTGGAGCTGCAGGGCTGTCAGGGCTCAGCGGAAGCCCCAGGATCAGTGCCGCTTTCCAGCTGATCGGTGCTTCTTCGGGGCTGTCAGGAATCAGTGGAAGCACCAGGATCAGCACCAGGCTCCAGCTGGAGCTCAGCACTGATCCTGTGCTTCCGCTGAGCCCAGAAGAAGCGCCGATCAGCTGGAATGTTGCAGCTCTCCAGGGTTTTGTGATTTACATTCAGACGCTTGGCAACTGATTCATATTTATGGCGGGCACAGTGTCCCATGGTCATGTGAAGTAACCAAAACCTGCTGCAACCACCCAGCAGACAGGGGGAATAAAAACCAAACACCCCCCACCACCCCACTTCCACTGCCAATCCCCAACAGAAATGCTCACAACAATGAAAACCTCGGACAGGAGGAAGAGCACCGCCGGACGGGCAGACAGGTGTCTTGCTCGGCTGTGGCTTGGGGGGCACTTTTTTCAGTGCCATTGTAACTTCGAACAGTCACTAAGCAGACTGTTGTAAGTTTTTGACACCTTGCTAGGCGGTACTCGGATGTTGCCATATCCTAAAAGTGGTACGATGGGTGAAAAGGTTGAAAAGCCCTGGACTAGATGACCTCCAAGGTCCCACCTAACCCTGTTATTCTGTTTTTCTGTTCTGTTGAAAAGCCCTGATGTAGCCCAACCCCTTGCGCAGGCAGAAAACCCTACACCATTTCAGACCAATGGCTGTCCAGTCTCTTCTTAAAAACTTCCAGTGTTGGAGCATTCACAGAACTTCTACCACCCCAGTCAAATGATTGTCTAGTCTATTTCTGCAAACCTCCAGCAATGGGGCACCCGCAACTACAGGAAACAACCTCAAGTTAAAGTGTTGGCTAGCCTACGCCGAGCACAATAAACCTAAGCAGGGTTAGCCCTCCATGGCATTCGGTCGGGAGACCACCAGGAAATCCCTTGTTGGGAGACCACCAGGAAACTTGACAAAGTTTCTCAAGCTTCGTAACTTTCGGATGGGAGGACATCAATTCCCAGAATTCCCCATCCAGCATGCATGCTGGCTGGGGCATTCTGGGAGCTGACGTCCACCCCTCTTCAACTCGCAAGCGTGAGAAACCTGAAGATAAAAGGGAGAAAAATCGTGAAGGAATTGGTGGAAGAAAACAAAACAATTCCGGGAAAAAGTGAAATCATGGTTGTATCCTGGCCAGGAAGAGGAGCTGTATGGCTGATGCCACAGCAAGCCAGCTTAACAACAGGATTGCAGGCCCTCATAAAGGGATAAGCCAGGAATGTCCAACCTCGGCCCCTTTAAGACCTGTGGACTTCAACTCCCAGAATTCCCCAGCCAGCCATGCTGGCTGGGGAATTCTGGGAGTTGAAGTCCATAGGTGGAGATTGGACACAGCTGGGGTAAGCTAAGAGCTCTGAAATCTACAGCTTCACCCTTCGCCTCTCCAAAACTCACTCAGGGTCTTTTGAAGCCCCTCGCAGGAAGTACCCCCACCCCCTAATATCAGGTCGAAGAATTTCCAGTCCACTTCTGGCTCTTAAACCATGGTGGGGAGGGGGGGCGTCGCACCGAGACAAAGAAAGGAGGGGGACGGCGAAGGAGGGAGGAGGAGAGAGGAGGCCAGGGAACGAGAAACGGAGACCCCTCCCCCCTTCCTCTACTCCCCCCTCCTCCTCCTCCTCCTCCCCCCTCCTCCTCAGACACGTGTCTCCATTGTTCTGCCTTTGGCTGGACCCCGAGGGCGCCAGAGTTAATCAACCCTTCGCGTGGGGACGAAAAGGACCCCCGAAAGGGAGGAGGGGGCTGGGAGAAGAGGGAGGGAGGGAGGGAAGGAGGGAGGCGTAGGAATTTGGGGCGAGGAGGGGTGTGGAAAAGCTGCCAAAGGGGTATGCTGGGTTTCTGGACAGAGAAGAGGAGGGGCAGAGGAACGGATTGGGGGGGGGGTCGGGGTTCCTTCCTTCCTTCCTTCCTTCCTTCCTTCCTCCCTCCCTCCCTTCCTCCCTTCTTCCTTCCTTCCTTCCTTCCTTCCCTCCTTCCTTCTCTTCCCTCGGCCTTGCTCCAAGCTCGGGGGGGGGCAGGGTCCTCGCCATGTGCTGCCCACTCCTGGGTCCTTCTGTGGGGGGGCGATTTGGGGGGGGGCAGAGGGGAGCCGATAAAGGAAGCGTGGCTAGCTTGGGACCCTGGCCTCGCCGTCCCCGAGGCAAGCGTGGGACCGGGCGGGTGGGGGTCGCAACGTTAAGCAGATGGGCTTAAACTTTGCTCCCCTCCTCTCCCCCTCCCCCTCCCCTGCCAAACCAATTCTCCTTCTCCTTTTCTTTCTTTCTTTCTTTTTTTTTTTTGCTCTGTCACTTTCACCCTTTCGCTTTTTCACGCCCCTTCGCAGGTTTGCATCCCAACCCCCACGCCGTCTCCTCTCCTCCTTCTCTCCCTCCCTCCCTCCTTCCCTTCCTCCCCCCTCCCTCTCCGCAAGCCCCTGGGGGCGCTTTGATGGATAAAAGGGCTAACGCCCCCTCTTCTCCTCCCCCCCCCCGCTCGCGCTGCCTGAGTCCCATTTAAAGACAGGAGGGAGCGTGGGGGGGGGAGGGGGGAGAGGAAGGAAGGAAGAGCCGGAGCATGTTGCTGACCTCAGCGATTCCCCGCAGCCTGCGCTCTCTCCCCCCCCCCGCTCTCCCTTCACTTTCCCTTTCGGCTCCTCCCCTCCCTTTCCCCGCCTCCTCCTCCCCCCCCGCCCCGCCCACTCGGGCCAGCCGCTGCGGAGCTGTCCGAGGTGCTGAACCGGACCGGCCCTTGGCCAAGCGCCTTTCGCCTCGCCATGCCTCGCTCCTTCCTGGTCAAGAAGATCAAAGCGGACCCCTTCCAGGCCGGGTCGGCGCCCGCCACCCCCCCGCCTTACCCGCCGCTGGAAACTTCGTACCCCGGGTGGGCGGGACCCGCGAGAGCCGGAGACCCCGGCCCGAAAGACGGTAAGCAGCAGCGGCCGGCGCCTTCAAGGGTTTTTTTTGGGGGGGGGGTCCGCGGGGAGAAGTGAGATTGCGGGATGGAGGGGAAGGGGGTCGTCGGAAAGGTTACGGGCTAGAGAAAGCCGGTCGCGTTGCGTTTGCTGGGCAAAGGCGTGGGGGGGGGAATTCCCTCTGCTTCTCTTGGCTCGTGAGGAGGAGGATTGGGCCCCGATTTCTCTTGAGTTGGGGGGGGGTCTTCCCAAAAGGACAAGCTCTCTTTTTTTCCCCTCCCTCTCTTTTTTCCTCTCTACACGCGCTCGGCGCGCACACAAAAAAGCCCAACTCTCGGCTATAAAACCGCCCGTCCGTCCGTAGAAAAAATCCCTGCGGGGTCGTAGCGCTGGGAAAGGTCAATGCGGCACTCCGTGGTCCGGCGCGGATCCTTTGGGATGTTGTGGGAACTCAGCCTTGAAGGTCGGAAGAACAGCTCGGGCCGAGGGGGGGGAGAAGGGAGGGGGCGGGTTGAAACTACGTCGCCTCCCAGCTCCTTTGAGGAGCCTTTGGGGGGGGGGGAGCCGTCAATCTCTCCCCAACGGACTACAAGGCCCATCGGGCAAGCAATGGCTGCGCGGATCTCCCAAGATACCTCTGCCGTGTGAATCCGAGACAAAGCGGAGGGACGGAAGAGCCCCTGGAGTAAATTACAACAGCATCGGGCTCTGCCTTTTGGTTTTAATTAAGGAAGTGGGGGGGGGAGAGAGAATATCTTGGAAAGTGTCCCATTTCGGGAGAAATGCTAGAAAAGAGAGATTACTGCACAGGAGCTCTTCCCGTGAAAAAGTGTGCATTCACACAACACGGAGGAGGAGGCCAAAAGAAGCAATCGCCTTCCCATAACGTGATAAGGTTGGCAAAATGACTGCAGAGTAAATCCATCATGTTAGTTGATGGTTCAGGACCTTGGTGAATCTTTTTTTTTTTAAAAGGAGGGGGAAGGTGTTGTGTGAACACCACCAATATTTGTTTCCCCCCCCTCCTGAGGGAGGTGGTGGAGAGAAAAGAGGCGGAGAGGAAGGCTGAGATTTGTCCGCTGTGCATAATGGGAGAGATCAAGATCAACTCAAGGTTTGCAGTTACAAAGAGAGAGATGCAGCCAGCCACAAAATCTTGTTTGCTCCTAATTTGGGGGTCTGGAAAGAACCACATCCTGGAGGCTGGACAACCCCCCCCCCCTCTGCTACCTACACACACACACACACACACACAGTGGCTTTGTTCCTACAGCATCCTTAACTAAGTTGCTTGGAGCTGCGTTCACAAACCTGCTAAGCTGGATGTTGTCTTCGTCTGGAGACCGTGATTGTGGTTGTTTGCAAGAGCGCTCTTAGCCTTGGTGGGGATCAGCAGCTTCATTGATTGGGCAAACCCTGTGCCTGGTTTATGGACAACATCTGGGACGCTGGTCCTTCTCGCGAGCAGGTTTCACAGGTTGTGTGAATGTGGCTGATTCAGGCTTGTGGGTCTAGCTCTTAGACTCTTGAATCAGGCCTGGTTGTTAACTCTAGAAGACCTTTTCAGCCCCGATTTTCAACACCTGCATGCCAGTTTGGGGTGTGTGTGCATTTTCCTGCTGTGTGCAACTTTTAAGTATGGAAGCAATGTTTTTTTTTTTAAAAAAAATATTATTATTTTTCTCATTAAGAGGATTGCTAGAGAGGAAGAAATCCATTTCTCAAGCAATGTTTTGTGATTTCATCAAAGCTGGGATCTTAGAAATGTCTTTCCCAGTTGGGTACTTTGTAGAGCAGTCAATGTTACAATTCCCAGCACCTGCAGAAAGACTGGGATTGTAGCCCAATACTAGACAGTTCGGTCTTGTGGTTAAGGTAGCGGGCTTGAAACCAGAAGACTGAGTTCTAGTTCCGTTTGGGGCACGAAAGCCGGCTGGGTGACTTTGGGCCAATCACCAGGAGATGGTGAGTTCTAGTCCTGCCTTAGGCATGAAAACTGACTTCGTGCCCTTGGGCCAATCACCAGGAGACGGTGAGTTCTAGTCTTGCCTTAGGCATGAAAGCCATCTGGGTGACTTTGGGCCAATCACCAGGGGATGGTGAGTTCTAGTCCTGCCTTAAGCATGAAAGCCAGCTGGGTGACTTTGGGCCAATCACTAGGTGGTGAGTTCTAGTCCTGCCTTAAACTGGGTGACTTTGGGCCAATACTAAGAGAAGGTGAGTTCTAGTCCTGCCTTAGGCATGAAAACCAGTTGAGTGACTTTGGGCCAATCACCAGGAGACGGTGAGTTCTAGTCCCACCTCAGCCATGAAAGCCAGCTGAGTGACTTTAAGCCAGTCCCTCTCTCTCTCTCTCTTAGCCCGGCCCACCTTAGAGGATTGTTGTTGCAGGAAAAGAGGAGAGTGAAGGAGTATTAGGTATGTCCCCCACCTTGAATTATTTATAATAAAAAAAAACAAGGAAGGCAGAATAAAAAGCCAATAAAAATAAACAAAACTCTTCTTCAGAGCACCCGACCGAGAAAAGCTGAGATTCGTGAGCTGTATCCTTATGTCCGACTTTTCATCGGGTCAGTTACCAACCCAACAGCTGCGTTCACAAATCAAACCAAGTTAGGCTCAACCTAATTTCAATCTCAAAGTGGCTTCCTTTGTGCAGAAAAGGGGGGGGGGAGGCAGCTCAGCCCAATGTGTGGTGAAGTTAACGCTTGATCCGAACGCCAAAACCACCAGGTGGGAGAAAACCAAGCTAACCGCAGACTAAGGTGACTGGGATTGTCACGTGTTCCTATTTCAGGAGTCGTGGCCCCTTGCCGACAGAGGCAGCTCACGACAACTTGTGTGTGTGGTGTGTGTGATCTCCCTCCCAGCCTTCCTTTTTATAATCGCAGCAGAAGAAAAGATGTGAACAGAGCAGGTTATGGGTTTTTTTTTTCCCACCTGTCTTTTCTCGCAGGTGAAGAGACGAGGTTAAGAGAGATGAGGTTAAGCGTTTAGCGCAGAAAAATGGAAGATCAAAGATTTGGCTTCTTCAACCAGGGAGGAGACAAGGGGGGGGGGAATAAAAAGGAATCATGGGGTGGGGTGGGGTGGGGGCCTTTCAAGTCCCACCCTCAAAATCCTCCTCAATCACCTGTATGAGATTTCCTCACCTCTCCCCCCCCCCCCCGGTCTTTGATTATGGACAGAAGGTTTTCAATAGGGTGGATAGAGAATACAGAATAACGGAGCTGGAAGGGACCTTGGAGGTCATCTAGTCTAACCCCCTGCTCAGGCAGGAGACTCTAGAAAGAGTGCAGAGAAGAGCAACAAAGAGGATCAGGGGACTGGAGGCTAAAGCATATAAGGAACAGCTGCCGGAATTGGATATGTCTAGTTTAATGAAGAGAAGGACAAGGGGGGACATGATAGCAGTGTTCCAATATCTCAGGGGCTGCCCCAAAGAAGAGGAAGTCAAGCTATTCTCCAAAGTGCCTGGAGGCAGGACAAGAAGCAGGGGATGGAAACTCATCAAGGAGAGAAGCAACCTAGAATATAAGGAGAAACTTCCTGACAGTGAGAACAATTAATCAGTGGAACAACCTGCCTCCAGAAGCGGTGAATGCTCCAATACTGGAGGTTTTTAAGAAGAGACTGGACAGCCATCTGTCTGAAATGGAGACAGTTGGGGCAGCAACAGCTATGTGTAGATGTACCATTTTGTCACTAACTTGAGTGTTTAGAATTGAATCAGACAGGCCGACAAAATGCCGGGAGACCTTGACTTATTATGACTGCAATGGACTCCAAAATTTATGTTGATGGCGGAGACATTTGTCAACTGTGTTTGCCCCCATTGTGAAGGGATCACTGCCGTTGTTCAGTTAGGAACAACACTGGAGTTAAGTTAGTTGTTAAGAGGTGAATCGCTGCAGTAACGTGGTCGTTATTCTATTCTATTCTCCAAAGCACCTGAAGAAAGGAGAAGAAGCAACAGATGGAAACTGATCAAGGAAAGAAGCAACCTAGAACTAAGGAGAAACTTCCTGACAGTCAGAACAATTAACCAGTGGAACAACCTGCCTCCAGAAACGGTGAATGCTCCAACACTGGAAGTTTTTAAGAAGAGACTGGACAGCCATTTGTTCGAAATGGTATAGGGTTTCCTGCCTGAGCAGGGGGTTGGACTAGATGACCTCCAAGGTCCCTTCCAACTTTACTATTATTATTATTATTATTATTATTATTATTATTATTATTATTATTATTCCAATCAAATGGCTGTCCAGTCTCGTCTTGAAAACCTCCAGTGTTGGAGCACTCATAACTTCTGGTGGCATGCCGTTCCACTGGTTAATTGGTTTTTTTAAAGAAAATTTTATTAATTTTCCGGTTTTACATTTAAATATTTAAAAAGCAACGCGGCGGCTGAGTCAATCGATAATTTAATAACATACAGGTATCTTTAGTTCAAATCTCAAACTATTACATTAAATATTTCCTTTTTTCCCCTTCGTATTTACTGTCTCATATTTAAACTAATACAATTCTTATTTTATAACAACAACAACAACAACAATAATAATAAAGTTGGAAGAGACCTTGGAGGTCATCTAGTCCAACCCCCTGCTCAGGCAGGAAACCCTATACCATTTCAGACAAAAGGCTGTCCAGTCTCTTCTTAAAAATTTCCACTGTTAGAGCACCCACAACGTCTGAATGAAAGCCGTTTCACTAATTAATTGTTCTGACTGTCAGGAAGTTTCTCCTTAGTTCTAGGTTGCTTCTCTCCTTGATGAGTTTCCATCCGTTGCTTCTTGTCCTGCCTTCAGGCGCTTTGGAAAACAGCTTGGCTATCAATTAAATAAAACTAACTTTCTGACATTTATCCATAATTTTTAGTTTGTACATATCCTGGTTAGTTTAACATTCAATCTTTACAGACAACCGACGTCCTAAGTAGTTTTTCCCCATTTTTAGTGAAATGTTAAATTAATATTTAAATTGAATGTTTCATATGTATAATTTCCAAAG